CCGGAGCTCTCCTCCGTGACCTGTTTATAAATGAGGTCCGGAGCTCTCCTCCGTGACCTGTTTTGTTGACGTTCCTTCCTTAGCAAAAACAGCCTCCGGCTTCTTTTTGACTCTTTTCTCAAAAGATTAATTGCCAATGGGCTTACAGTGGCCCATAGTCAACTCTTATCGTTCTAGCCCATTAGTCTCAGCTAGCGGGACATATTTGGGCCCAACACTACTCATAAAGCCCATAAAATGTTAAATACATAGGCATCGGTACAACGGATGATAAAACAATAGCAGAATGCTGAAGAAGCTATATGTTAGAGATAGCAATCATTAACCTGGACCGCCGGTCTAGCCCATAAATGAGTTTGCGGGATGGTACTGGGACGGGTATTTATGAGATTGGGCCTTTTGCTCGATGGACTGAAACGGGTCATGCAGAATTACAAGGACCTACATATTTTTCTTCATTTCTTGTTTGAACTGAAAAAACGAGAAGGAGAGTGAGAAAAAGGCGATTCATATGATTTCTCCCGAGAAAACGTAAGGATCGACGGTGATGATGATTCGAGCTTCGGTGATGATGATTTGAGCTCTGGCGATAACGACTCCAGCTCCGGCGATAAGGATTCGAGCTCTATGGTGTTTTGATTTTTATTTTTTTGGTAAAAGCGGTGTTTTGATTTGGTTTTCTCTTTTTATTTAATTTGGGATTTGCAACTTTGATTTGGTGTTTGGTTTTATTTAATTTTTGGATTCAGCAAACTAAAACATTGGTTATGAACTTATGAGTTATAAGTTAATCAAAAATATCTTCTGCAATTATCTTTACTTGGTATGTTAATATGTTTTGGGTATGACAAAAGTAACTACAACTATTTTTTGAATTAAAAATTGGGCAATTCTCTCAAATAGCTATTTTTAAGCTTTTGTCACAAAAATAGCCCTCGAAAAATTAAAATGACTAAAATAGCCATTTTTATTTTGAAATTTCTAATTTTTTTTTTATTTTTTCAAATTTGAAACCCTATCTCCAAAATCCACCCCTTAACTCACCATAAATCTAGATTATTTACCCTAGGGTATAAATGCATATTTACCCTTTAAATAAAATCTCTTTTGGTCATTTTTTTGAAAATAAACTAAAAAGAGCTATCCAAGGGAATTTCCGTAAAAAATAAGTAAATCATGACTCATGAATCATATCCAGTTGAATCGACGAGTTGAATCATGTCCTAGAGTATTGTGAAGTGTTCTGATGCGTGTATTATCACCTGTTCCACAGGCCGACCCAAAAGGCTTGTACATATAGTGTGGACGGGTTTGGGCAGCCATTCCAAAGACCACATCCCGCGCGGACCTGACCCGCTGTGACCCACTTGAAAAAAATCCCGCTGCGTTCCAGGACGGGATGGGACGGGATAACTTGTTTACCATTTCTATATGAGAGCATTGAGCAAATAGCATTTAGAGAACATTAGCATATGGTAAATGATTTTTTAAATACTTCTTTGGTAAATGTTGATTGGATAATAAATAGCATAACGCTCATAATACTCTACCAATCAAGCTCGTGAATGTGTTTTTCCCACATCAGGGAATACAAGGCAACATGAGTAGTATATACATGCATACTCATATACTTAGTTCAAAACGGCTCAGTAGGAGAGATGGCTTCCCACGAGCGTGCCGCCGCCGTCCAGCTCGGCGTGGGTGTGGGCTTGGGTATTGCTTGAGCTCAACCAACGTTCCACTCCGAGATCTATGAGAAATTTTTGGAAATTTTTTGCAACAGTTTCGAAAAATCACTCCTCATCTCCTTTTTAAACATCGTCTCTCCTTCTCCTCTTTATTTTTTTACTTTTCACATCGAAAACCAACAGCAAAAAATCCCAAAGAGTAAGTCTATAGGTTCGAGAGTGTTTCGTAGATATTACTTCGATAGGGCATTCACGAGTGAGGCGTGAATCGTCTGCCATGGTTGTATTGTATTCTGGGACTCAATTTTCATACAGTCACGACTCACTACAGAGCGAATATTTAGTGTTAAGGAAATAAATTATATCTCGACTCCATGTTTTATCGTTCTTGTATTCGTCTTTCGAATAGTCTATTTCCTTAACTTCGCTTTTATTATATTGTTTATCTCAACCCGGTTTTCCGGCTTCTACAATATTAACTCTAAGTCTCTTTTGTTCTAAATCTTTTGATGGGATATTGAAAACGATTTATAAAACGGTTTGGGTTATATTTTGAACGGTGTTTGCGATTTTCTTCTCATATTTTCGCGAAACGTTTCTTGGTTATCTTAAGATGGTGTACGTTTTGCTCTATAGCATTATCATGGAACGATTTTTGCTACATGATTCTTAAAACGATTCGTTTCCACAGACGCTTTCTAAAGTGGGTGTGTGAAACAATCTAAAGTCGATCCTATATGGTGATTAAGAACGATCTTAAGTGATATTTAACAAATCCAGATGGATACTATTATGCGGTTATACAATTATTTTATATAAATAATTTGTATTTTCATATCGGTGTACTGATAAACATCATTTTAATTTTAATTTTTTCGGAAACATAATTACCGAAACGAATAACACCATTGATGATCAAACCCCACTCAACGTTGTTCAAACTGACGCAACCATGACAAATGTTGGAACACCAACAACAACCGTTGTAACAACAACAACCGTTGTAACAACAACAACCGCCTTTCCTCATGAAACCACGCGCCGTGTTTTCCTTATAGATTTTAATTTTGTTGAAATGTATAATAACAAAATTACTAGAAATTTGATTTTTATTCTTTGTTTTCTTGCAGTTTTACTGATTATGTTGTAAATTATGAAATTTAATCTGTAAGTTCTATTTTTCCATTATTCTAAGCAACTATATGGCATGAATAACATTACCATCCTTAAGAGTTCGTTTATAACTATGAAAATAAGTAACTACTGTACCTTTAGGTCCTAATTGGTGATAATCATAGTGGTGGAATGATGCTTAAAACCGCGATTCCACAATTTTTTTACCAGTCAAAAAAGTTTGTAAAAGAGAAAAACACATAAATATAGATTCACGTTTTTGCTTACAGAAAATACAAAGAAAAATATTGGAAACAGAAATTAAGTTAGATTTTTTTGAGAATCAAATTTTTTATATTGTTTAGTTATGTAATAACACCTTAAGCCCTTATATAAATAATAGCAGATATTAAATTATAAGTAGTTATATTAAAAATAAATTATATTATGATATGATTTTCCTTGGGTGACATCTTTAACCGGGAATCGGACAATAACACTTGATCATCAACTTTGAATGCCTTTACCAAGATTTTCTTGTCATTGAATATCTTGTCATGTAAATCCTTAGCTCTCAGATGCCTCAAGTCTGATTTCGTGCAACTCATTTAACTGAATTAATCTTTTCTCTTTGGCAATTTTGATACCAAAGTTCAAAATTTTGACTGTCCACAAAGCCTTCTACTCAACCATAGTCCATAACTAGAAGATGGCATGACTTCCTAAAGACTACTCCTTTCAATCTACTATCCATGGAGAGATATGGACATTAATGCAGAACATGACGCTCATGTGGGCTACAAGTGGCCTGATGAAAATATAAGCTCAGTGATTCGGAGACTTGCATGTACAGAACCTGCAACTGAGGATGACATCACAGAGTATACAAGCGCATTTAGTACAACATATTATGCAGTTTCTGTCAAACAAGGAGTTGAGGGAACTCTTTCAGTGAATACACACTTCCCTCAAAATCATGAAACTAAAACTGATGCCTGTGTGTGAATGACAGACCGCAGACTTGAAGAGTTGATGACCGTAGACAGAGGCTTCAGATGAGAGGTTTAAGGTGCAGCATTGTCTACACATGCTTCAACAAGGATATATAGAAAAGCCTTGAACCGGGTAACCCCGGTTATTGGCGGAGAAAAGAAATCGCTGAGAGATAGATTCTACTATTTTGTCACGGCGAATAAGAAACAGGTGCACCCTGACCCTGCCTGGTGTACGCATTACATCGTATGCGGTACTCGGTGATGATGTTGTCATTGGCGATCAGAGGGAATGCAAGTACTCAGGTTTGATACTTTCAAGACCAAATTGCTATTTGTCAGATGATCATATAGTGGGAATGAGACAGCTTGATTGCTTTTCAATAAGGTGGGGAACTGAAATGTCGATGTCTGTTTTCTTTTTGAAAGCAAAAGCGGATAAACAAACTATGATGACTTGCTGGGTGGTCTCCCAAGCCAAAATCAATCGTTCTAAAAGGTTCTCTACATCTCACCTTAACCAGAATCACCATATATATATATATACCAGATAAGCCATGACATTACAACATAAGCAACAAGTGGAACTTGCTCTGATTACAGAACTAGAAGCTCACCAACTAATATAAAAATGAGTAGAAAGTCACAAAAGGAACAAGCTTGTAGAAGAATGTCTAAATCAGAGCCAACCAAAATCATATTCGTCACAAGAGATACTTCTCCTAAAAGAATCTATCGACACATTCAAAGATCATCGTTCACCCTTTTAAGATTGATTCCTCAAGTCTGAACCATCTTGGAAAGGAATCTTCATATCAGAATCAACCCAAACTCTGGTTTTCAGAGAACAAGACCCACAAGGAAGAACCACAGAGGCCACAGAAGCACCCAATCTCCTAACTTGAACACAGTTACCGTCTCTCAACAACGCAAACCCCATTGTTTCAAGCTCAGAGGAATCAACAGAGAAGTAATCACCACACCGACACTGATAAAAAATCTCCATGTCTTCTCCACTGATCTCCACCGACATATCCTCTACACTTATCTCATCAGCAGTGGTTCCGTCCTGTCTCGAAGATCGAAGGTCGTTGTCGTAAACCACGCGTAGCTCTGCATCGCTTAGGACTTGCCACGCCTTTTGGATCTTGAGAAACTTTTCGTCTGAGGTACAAGGAGAGGTGTTTAGCTTATCTGGGTGTGAGTGGAGGATGGCGGATCGATAGCTGTTGCGGATTTGGTCGTAGCTCGCATCTTCATCGACGGAGAGAATCTCGTAGTGTGTCTCGTGGACAGAGGTTTCACCCAGAGGCATGATTGTGTTTATCCTTTTGCAATCAACTACGATTAGACCAAAGGGAATAAATGGGTACGGTAATTCGTTTTTTCACACTTGATTTTTGTTCTATGTTTAGTTCAATTAGATTCGGTTCAAAACATTTTCAAAGGGAAAATTGTGTGTTTTAGACTAAAAAAATGATAACTATATTCCATTAGACTAATTTCATTAATTATTTTCAAAATAACAATAATAACCTTAAATTTTAATTTTATATTCATAATTACAATTAATAAATCAAAAGATTAATTTTCAATTCATAATTACAAAAAATCATTATAATATATTTACAATGATTTGGTAATATAATAAAATATAGTATAATAATTAAAATAAATAATAACATAAAACAAAAAAAAATCGATTTTAAATTCTTAATTAGAATTAATAACAATTTTAAATTTTTAAATTCGTAAGTACAATTAATTAATTATGATTTTTTATTATTGTTTCAAAAACTCATTTTTTCATATATGAAAACTGAATATTTTCAAATATTTTATTCTCTTAATTATTGAAACTGATTATCTTATCTGTAGAATAAAAGAAATTTGTAGAACTTGGTTTCTACAGGTTTTTAGATTTACAGTAATGTGTAGATTTTGATTTCTACAGGTTTTAGATTTATAGTAACATGTAGATTCCGATTTCTACAAACTTTACAGCGATAGATTAAACGTAGAATGTATATTCAAAATATTTTTAGAGTACTTTTAGTTACGTAGATCACGTATTCTAAACATATTAGATTCAATGAAAAAATAGATTTCATTTTCTACTTTGTAGAATGTCTATTCTACTTTATGTAAAACATAATATGAAATTATGATTTAAACATTTTTAGAACTTGAAGAAAATACCACTAAATTGATATATGTATTTTTCAGTAGATACTATTTTTCAATTTTTTTGTTAGTAAAACAATTTATTTAATTTATTTTTGAAAATACTAAAGAATATTAAAGACAAAAATGATACAAAATATAAATTAGTCTAATAAGACTTAATTATCACTTTTTAGTCTAAAAAAGCAATTGGGTGGTCAAAATCAACATTCATTTTACCAAGTATTTGAATACAATTCTTGACAACAAGAGAATTATACCACTAGTACATTGAGGCTACGAGTATGACCATGGACAGTTGGTAATAGAATACCTCACTTAAAGTTGGCAAAAAAAAAAAATATCTTACAAGTTTATCCTACAAAATTCATATTCTAGAATCTTTTCACTACTATTTCCTTTGTTTTTTTCTTATACAATTTTTAAACAAAACAAATAACACATCACTTATTCGGTTCCGCAAGCTAGTCTTCACAATCTTCATCGCTGAAAAACATCTTACAACTGTAACGATGGGAACAAGTAACATTAAAACTAGCTCAAAGCCGTTATGTTTGAGGATGTGAAAGATGTTTCTTTGTCTTCACCATTATGCATACTAGATCTCCAAGATTCTTCAAATTAGAAGTTTTTTCATTTTCCAGAATATTGTCAATATAAAGACCCAGTTGATGCTCAAGAGTAATCCGCTCGAGAGGACCAAAATCTTTTGGACAAAACTCATCCAGTCGCATAATTTTTAACTGATCAAACTCTTGAAATGAATTAGGGGGGTGGGTTAAGGAAGTAATGCAGCCAAGTAATTATGTGTTTACCTCGTCAAAACGGTTATTAAACTCTTGAATCTGCATATCTAATACAATGTAAAAATACCTCATTCCACCTTGTAATGGTGCAAGTTGGTTAAATTGTTTTTTCCTTGAATTATTTGAATCAAATTCATCATCCATAATCAAGATGGGAAGAACTCTGGTAGATCGAGTCTTGAGAGGCCGTTATTATTGATTGAGCTCGCCTTTGCGTCAGCTTACTGTCAGTAGCCTATCGTCTGTGTGGACAAGTATATCGGCGGCATGAGAATTACTATTACTGGGAGTTAGACAAAAGATACATTCGGGCTATGAAGTGAAAGTATGGGACGATCTCTGGATTCCCACCATAACAGTGAGACTAGTATCAGCATCTGCACCGGTTTTGCATCCGAACATGAAAGTGAGTGGCCTAATAAATTAAGAAACAAAGACTTGGGATGTGGGCCGGCTGGAGAACTATGTTTCTGCTGCGGATATACCACTCATACGAAGTATGGTCATTAGTTCGACACATCGCCGGGACACGTATTGCTGGAGCTATACAAGGAATGGACATTACACAGTCAAATCTGGATATTGGGTCGCACGAAATATAATGAAAAGGTGGAGAAGGCTGAAGTTTGTGAACCTATTATACAAAAACTAACCACATGTCTGGAAGGTCAAGGCACCCAAAAAGATGCGCCATCTTATGTGGCAACTAATAACATGTCATGTGGCAGTTACAAGTACATTAAACTACAGACATATGAGATGTGATAATCACTGTCCACGATGTGGGGAACCAGAAGAAACAGTTACACATGCAATCTTTCAGTGTCCACCCGCAATACAAGTTTGGGCCTTATCATCTACGCCTACCAGCCTTACCTTGTTTCCACAAGAGAGCACATATGCAAATATGGGCAATCTCTTATGGAAGAAAAATGACATAATGGAACCATAATTGGCCAGGGATTTCAATCCCTGGCTAATTTGGTATATTTGGAAGGCTCGGAACGATAAGCTGTTTAGGGGAATTGATAGAGATCCATTAGAGGTAGCCCGTTATGCAGAGAATGAGTGCCAAGCTTGGTTCCAAGCCAATGAACAGTTTATATCGCCATCTCATGGAAACATAGATGTTGAAAGTCAGACCATAAGTCTGGGAAATATTTGTATGGTGGATGGTCCTTGGACCTCTACAGCTCAGTTCAGTGGATGTGGTTGGGTTTGGAATAATAGTCTGAGAAATAGCCAGTCAATGGGTATGCACAATTTTAATAGATTGGAGTCTGCTTTTCACTCTGAGTTGAAAGCACTACGGTGGGCAATGGAGAATATGCTTCTACATTCGTCATGTCAAAGCTTTGGGACTGACTGTAAGGAGATGATTGCGATGCTCAGAAATCCTCATGATTGGCCAAGCTTCTCAACGGAATTGGAAAAGCTCATGACGCTGCGGATTTGCTTCCCATATTTCAAGATCTTTTATGTTGCTAGGACATAGAACGGGGTTTCTGATTCATTAGCTAAGACTGCTCGATCTTTCTATCGAGAACTTTTGTATGTTTGTTGTTCTATTCCGGTCTGAATACCCAGACCATCTCAAGCTTGAGTAATAGATCAGTTGTTTGATGCCAAAAAATTATATATATATATATAAATGAAACTAAACACTTGTACGGGTCAAAATCTAGTTTTATACATTAAAACATAAATCATGACATTAATTCATGTGTGATTTTTTTTTTTGAAATGGGCCATCACTAGAAACTTTTACTATATATATTTTATCAAACCTAATAATAAAATATTTATAACTACTTTAATCATAATATCTTTTGATATATTATTATTGTAAATATAAATATATATTCAAAATTTAAAAATATATGTTGAAAAAGATTTAATAAGATCTTAACTTTTAGAAAATATGTTAATATTTAACTAATTTTAAATTAGTAAAGAATATAATTTATACATTAATATATATATTTATTTATCTTTTATAAAATAAAAATAAAATTTCTATCCTTTTTATCTATCTTTATAAAATCATAATGTATCATATTAAAATAAAATTATTATAGTAAAATTTTATTAAATGGATAAATTAATTTATTTTATTTTCATAAATAAAATAAATTAACGTTAAAAATATAATACGCTGACAGAACATATTAACATTAGTAACTATATATCACATGTATAAAATTAACATGTAGACTTTTATATATACAATACTATCTTTTCTAAATAAACATAAAAATTTGCTAACTTATTATACATTAAATATAAAATCATTTTTAAATATGATTTTTCATGTATATATTAGTTTATTTAATAATCAAATGCAAATCCAAAAAATAAATATAATAAAAAATAATTGAAACAATGATTTTTAATATGTGAACTGTAAAATTATGATGTTTATAATAGTTTTATAAGCACCTAAATACATTCATTAATAATGTATATAAAAATCAAAGTAATCGGAGTTATTATTATTATTTTAATTTTTTGATCAAAATCGGAGTTATTATTAAGAAGAATTTTTTTGTTTTGGTCGAAACATGGGTGAAAAGAAAGAATTGATCAGTAGTAGACCGATTACCCGAACCCGCTTCTAAAATACCAACGGAGGCAAAAAGGCGATTCCACACGGTCATCTCTGAATCTGTTAATAACTCTCTCTCTCTTCTCGTTCTGGGGAAAACTTTGGTTAAGATTTGGTAGAAAATCGTGATGGGTTTATCAAAAGGTAGATTGAAAGCATGGTTCAATAAGAAAATCACCGACCCTTTCCTCCAGATCTTGCGTAGGTTTGTCTTCTTTCTCTTTACGCGTTTTCTATCATATGGGATCTGATATTAGGTCTATTTGCTTACTTAGATTCTCCTCCATGATACTTGAGAGATGGAATCAGATACATCTCCTTTGCTATGTGTTGATTGTTTTGTCTTAAAAACCTGACCTATGTTAATTTCAAAACATTAAAGGAAAACTATTGATCTCCGAGCGAGTTTTGACTTTTTTTTCCATTTTCTTACAGAGGTACTGAGCCTAAGCAGCTTGCTTTCTCCGCCGCACTTGGCATTACCTTGGGGCTTTTTCCGATATGCGGTGGGTTCCTAAGCTTACTTCTTTTCGCCTTTGTTACGTTTTGAGATTGAAATGTATTGGGATTGTTTTTTGGGTTTTCAAACAGGTGTTCCTGTGTTTCTATGTGGAGTAGCTATTGCGTTTCTTGGATCTGCTTGTCATGCTCCTACCGTGATGTTGGCTAACATCATTGCCACTCCAGCAGAACTTGCGTATAACCTTTATTCTATATCTTTTCAATCTTTGTTTCTTCAACTCTCTGCCTGATTGGATTTTGGTTATCATTCATG